TTTTTTAATTTTAATTATGAGAATACAACGCAATACATCCAACTTAATCTTGTTATACATATATACATTTGACTTCATTTATAATCTCCTTATTTAATATATTAATTACTAATTGATCTAATCACAACTACTAATGTTTCGACCTTGTCTTCTGCTATATAACCATTGATAAAATTTATTCCATGTTTTATCATATTTAGACTCTCCTTTGTCTTTTATTTCTAAAGTTAACCTATCTGATTCTGCACAGGCCATAATTTTTCTTATTATCTCTGTTTCTGGAGGTATGATTTCATTTTTCCCCCAGTATTGTGCATATATTATTCTAGCCACCATCGATACATGTACTATTGAGATACATTATTTCCTTCTTAAATTTTTCTGATATTATCCCTGGGAGAAAAAATTCCAGTTCAAACGGACCGGAAACACAACTTACCACCCCAAGTGAGCCGACCATTTCAGTTGCTAAGCGAGTTGGCTGTGAAATGAGCCCCCCCCCCCCATTTTATGGCTTTTCTTACTACTGTGGTTGTATAATTTTTCTTTAAAGGTTCTTTATCTTTCGGTTGTTAAGTAAATTGCCTCCATTGCTGAGTGAGTCCCACAAACCCTGCTTTTCCCATGGACTCTGCTTGTCAAAAGGTCAAATCATGGGAGGCTGCAACCGTCATAAGTACATGCCAGTTGCCAAGCCTTGGAATTTGGGTCGTGTGACCGAGGGAATCCATGCCACAAAGGGTCAAAAAAAAAACATGAAAAAAAGGACTTAAAGGACTTAAACAGATTAAGCAGATAATCAGAATTGGAAGGGACCTTGTAGGTCATCTAGTCCAACCCCCGCCCAAGCAGGAGACCCTACACCATTTCTGACAGAGGGAAGTCCAAGCCTCCCACAACTTCTATTGTAACCTTGAATGGTCGGAAGCCGAGAACTACCCTTCAAGGCCGCTTGTGACCTTTCCTTTGGGGCTCTCCCTAGGCTTTCCTCGTGGTCTCCCATCCCGCGGCTCACCTTTTCCACCAGCCACTGCAACAACCAGGTGTAATTTAGCATCGGGGCCGCTTAAAAGGCGACTTGCGCGGGCGCCTCCCCTGCCTAGCAAAGCGGGAGGCGAGCCGGCTCTTCCTCCTCTCCCGCGAGGGTGTCCAGCCGAGGCAGCTCGGACAGCCGGAGGAGGCGGAGGCGGAGGCGGGGAGCGCCCTCCGCCAGGCAGGTGGGGCCCGAGAGCCGGCCGGCCGGCCTGGTTTTGCAAGCGGGCGCCCGCGAGCTGGCTTGGCGAGAGCGGCGGCTGCTCCCTCCCCAGGCGGAGGCTTTGCAAAGGAGCCCCGGGATTGGGAAGGCTGGCCAGGCGCCCAGCCCGCCGCCCCCCCAAGCCCCGAACCCCAGCCTCCCCCCCGGCCACACACCCCTCCACTCCGGGCTCACTTACCGGCCAGCCTCCCGCAGAAGCGCCCCCCGGACCCTGGGCAGGCAGCGGCCAGGAGGGGGAGGCGGGAAGCGAAGGAAGGGAAGGGAGGGACGGAGGGAAGGCAGGAGCTCACAGAAGCCGCTGGCCTGGCCTCCCCCGCCGATCGCTGGGCGCTCCTCCCCGGGGGACCCGGCGAGAAAGAGAGAGAGAGAGAGAGAGAGAGAGAGAGAGAGACGCCTTGGCCCCCAGGGCATCTGGAGGGAAAGAGGGCGTGTGTAAGAGAGAGAGAGAGAGAGAGAGAGAAAAGAGACAGAAAGAGAAAGAAAAAAGAAAGTGAAAAAGAGAAAGAAAGAAAGAGACAGAAAGAGAAAAAGACAGAGAAATAGAGAAAGAGAAAGGAAAAGAGACAGAAAGAGAAAAAGACAGAGAAATAAAAAGGGAAAGAGAAAGAGAAAGGAAAAGAGACAGAGAAAAAGAAAGTGAAAAAGAGAGAAAGAAAGAAAAAGAGACAGAAAGAGAAAAAGAGAGAAAGAGAAAGAGAAAGAAAAGAGACAGAAAGAGAAAGGGAAAAAGAAAGAAAAAAGAAAAACAGAAAGAGACAAGAAGGAGAAAAAGAAAGGGAAAGGGAAAAAGAAAGAAAAAGACAGAAAGAAAAAGAGAAAGAGAAAATGAGAAAGAGACAAAGAGAAAGGAGAAAGTTGGAAAAAGAGAAAGAGGCAGAGAGAGAGAAAGGAAAGAGAGAGAGAGAGAGAGAAAGATAGAAACAAAAAGAGAGAAAGGAAAAAAGAGAGAAAGAGAGAGTCAGAAAGAGGAAGAGAGACAGACAAAGAAAGAGAAAAAGAGAGGGGGGGGGAGGAAAGAGACTGGGAATCTCTACCCAGTGGAGCCAAAGACAGCAAAGGAAGAGTAATAGGTAGCTTAGCTTCCTACTAACCAAAAGTGGCCCTTGTGATGAAGAAATGCATGGGCCGTAGAGAAGTGATTTGCCCTGTTTTCTTCCCCAATACTCTCTCTCTCACACACACACACAATATCTTGCACAATCAGATTTCTGATGCTTTTTAAGAAGAGACTGGACAGCCCTTTGTCCGGAATGATATAGGGTCTCCTGCCTTGAGCAGGGGGGGTTGGACTAGAAGACCTCCAAGGTCCCTCTTCCAACTCTATTATTCTGTTAAAAGCAGAGGTTTCGGCTGACGTTATCCCCTGTTTGGACATACTCAGGATGGTTTTATATGTCTAAAGTACAGGAACTAAATGTCAATAAACGGACACTCATTCTTTCTCAAGACTTTGCTGTTAGTCAATATTACTTCCAATACAGCTAAAATGTTTTTTTTTTTGGGGGGGGGGGGAGTAGCAGAGTTTATTTTTCCAATGTTTTGCTTACCTCCCAAAGTTTCTCCTGGCTAGCTGATCAGGACGATATTTTCGGAGAGCCCGTAAAAATCCAGCTTTTCCAGGGGAAACGTCAGTCAGAGGGCGCTACCCACTGCAAATTAAATGCATAATTATATACAGTATTTATCCTTGTTAGCTTTTACTCCAGGGCTGCATGATTCCTCCAGATTGCTCCTATGATGAGTTGTCAAAAAACAGGCTTTCAAATCTATTTACTCCCCAGATAGTCTCCAAGCTGACACACTTCCCAGTTCATCTACCAAGTTCTTCTTTGTCTCATTCTTCCCCAGAAGATTGTCAGGGGAGACTTGGAAAGAGAAGTTTGAATGAAACTGAAGCCTTTTTGGTTTTAAACTTTTAACATTGTTAATTTTCTTCTTCAGAAAGTTTCCAAAGATACAATTTGCCATTTGAACTCGAGTTGGAACTAATTTTTTTTTTTTGCAACCTTCCTACCATTTTTTTTTAATGGCCTTGAAAAAATGTGACTTTGGACTGTTCTTCACACTTATGTTGGGAGTTAAAACCCACCCCTCTCCTAGGAAAATGAAATATTTTAGGATATACTAAAAAGGCAGAATATTTTCCCTAAAAAGAAAAGTAGAAACTCGGAGAGGCAGAAACTTAGCCCCTCCCCTCCGCACCTTTGCAAATGGACCATTACTCTGGCCTAGGCCAGTCTATTTTACATAACGAAGATCTGCTCCAGATAGAGCTGTAATAGGAATTGCCCAAAGCCCTTTCATTACACCATCACCAGGCAAGGCTCAACCAAGCCTGAGACTCAAAAGACAGCCTACACAGAGTTGTCCCTGCATGACCCCACGGGAGTCTGACAACCAATCAGAACAACAAGCTCAAATTCAAATCCCAACAGAGGGTATAAAATCCAGGGACTCTCTACATCTCTGCCCTTTTTCCTTCACCCAACATCTTGAAACACGTGATCGTCCTTTTCGCTTTGGAGTTCCAAGCCATGTGGTCCTGTCCTGTCCACCATTAAACCATCTTTCCAAACAGCCCTACAGGTTTCCAGTGTCTTCCTCCCCCACTTGGAACCCAGAAGGATCATTCTTCCAACACTTACGACCGTTGTAGCATTACTTGAATCAAATTCAGATGCCTGGCAACTGACTCATATTTGTGACATGATCCCAGGTCATGTCATGCTAGAAGGTTTTGTGACCTTCTAGCCAGCAAAGTCAATGGGGGAAGCTACATTCACTTAAGTGAGATAGTTGTGAAGTTTTGCCCCATCTAAAACATATGAACGGTTGCAGGAACTGGGCCTGGCTAGTCTAGTAAAGAGAAGGACCAGGGGAGACAAGATAGCAGTCTTCCAAGATTTGAGGGGCTGCCCCAGAGAGGAGGAAGGGGTCCAGCTATTTTCTAAGGCACCTGAAGGCCAGACAAGGAATAATGGATGGAAACTGATCAAGGAGAAATTCAACCTGGAAATAAGGAGAAACTTTCTAACAATCAACCCATGGAACATAAGTTGCCTTCAGAAGTTGTGGGAGCTTCATCACTGGAAGCTTTCAAGAAGAGACTGGACTGCCATTTGTCAGAAATGGTGTAGGGTTTCCTGCTTGGGCAAGGGGGGGTTGGACTAGATGACCTACAAGACCCTTTTCAGCTCTGATTATCTGTTATCTGTTAAGCCATCTTATGACCTGCCTTGCCACATTTTTAAAGTGAAATACTGCAATGGTTAAGTGAGTCACGACCATGTGACTCACTTAACCATTGCAGTATTTCACTTTTAAATTTTATTTATTTATTTATTTATTTGATTTGCCAATTGTTTACAAGATAATAAGTATAAGTGTAGCAAGGCAGGTCATAAGATGGGGCAAAGCTCACTTCATAACTGTCTCAGTCAGCAACCTAAATGTTGAGGCTCCATTGTGCTCATGAGTCAAGGACTTAATGGACATAACTTGCTTCTGATTTGCCCTCCTGGAAGATTTCGGTTGCAAAGCCTGTCATGAGGATTTTTACCAGCAGCAGCAGACAATTCAATTTAAATTTAAATGTAAATGCAAATTCTCGGTCATTGTTGTCTCATAGGTGCTTTTTCAAAAGGCGACTGGACTGGAGGTATTTTTTTTCCTCCTTGAGGAAGAATTTAATTCATTTACAATGAAATGAAGGATTTATTCAATGTAAATTTCTCTGTAGCCTGGCCAGATTGAAAAGAAATAAGTATTTAGACATTGCAATCCACTCTGGGATCCTTAAGGGTCCCCCCTCCGAGGCAGAGAGAGATAATATAACCCTAATTTCTAGGACTACATAAACAACTCCAAAGGATCATGGGCTTCATTTTCCTTTGGGGTGGGGGGGGGGTAGGGTGGCTCAAATCCTGACAAAAGGAACCCGGAAACAGCGCTTCCCTTTTTGCGCTTGGGCGAGTCTGCTTTCTTGCTTCTAGAGGCACGGGAAAGAGGGCGGCCGGCGTGCGTGCGTGCCTACGTCACAGTTTCGTGCGTCATGAGGAGCGCGGCGATTGGCGACGCACGGATGGCAGGGACGTGCCCTGCTGGCTATATGAGCTCCGCGGAGGCGCCTCCTCGGCCTTTTTCCGCCTCGTTCTTCGCTCGCGCCGGGGGCTGCCGCCACTAGCGCTCTTCCACCCGGCCTGCCGCCGCCGCCCGCCCGCCGCCTCAGCCATGATCATCTACCGCGACTGCATCAGCCGTAAGCCCGAAGCCCCCCCGTTCGCGCCGCTTTTTTTTCCTTCCCCCCCCCTTTGAATCTTACGGGAGGGTGGGGGAAGGGGGAGGAGGAGGCCCCCCCGCGGCGCCGACTGCGCCTGCGCGGCTTGGCATTCCAAGCCGGGGAGCGCGCGCCGGACTCACCCTCGGGCTGCGCCTGCGCTCCTCCGTCCTCGAGCGCTAGCGCCTAGGAAGGAAGGGAGGGAGAAAAAAAAGGAAGCCAGGGCCTTGTCGGCGACCCCCCCTCCCCCCCCCGCACCCAGACGGCGCTCCATTGTCTGCGCATGTGTGTCGCCAAGGCGCCGGCCGGGCCGCCGCCCGCACTGCGCTTGCGCGAGAGGCGGGGCGGGGGTAAAGATGGATGAGTGCGGCGGCGCGTCGAAGCCGCCGGCCGCCTCTAGAGGGCGACAAAGGGTTGGATAGTATGGGAGCTGTAGCCCCCTGTTGGCCGTGCGGGGTATTGCAGGCTGATTTTTATTTTTATTTTTTTCCCCCTCCCATCTTTGGAGGTTTTAAAAGAAGAAATAGGACAACCATTTGTCTGAAAAGGGTGTTTAAGCTGGGGGCTGGACTAGAGGCCCTCTAAGGATCCTTCCAACCCTATTCTGTGTTTCTGGGCTGTGGGATTTGGGGAAGGCCTGCTTTTGGGGGACGCCCTGGAATAATAGTGGTGGTGGTGGGGTCTCCCTTTGACAGCCAAAGTTACCTGTGGGAACAGGTGAGGCCTACCTGGGTTTGAAGCTTCCCCTTTGCAACCTGCAGGCTTTTTTTTTAGAAGCTCTTAGGCTGCAAAAGTTACATCACTGATGGTGGTAAAGGTGAGTCTTGGGCCTGCCACGTGGGGGGAGCATGACTCCCCCCACCTGGCAGATCCAGGGGGAGCTGATGACCTCTAAGGACCCTTCCAACCTTATCATTCTATGCTTCTCGCTTTCTGGGGGGGGGGGGGGGAGTTTGGGCAAGGCCTGCTGTTGGGTGCTGCCTGGCTCCCAATTTGGCACCCTAGAAAAATAATGGTGGGGGTCTCCCTTTGACTGACAGCCAAGGTGACCTATGGAAACGGGCCTAACTTGGCTTTGAAGCTTCCCCTTTGCAACCGGCTGGCTTTTTCAGCGTCTTCTTTGCAGGCTTTCTTGGAAGCCCTTAGGCTGCAGAAGTAAAATGGCAGTAAAGGGTGGGCCTTGGGCCTGCCACGTGGTCAGGGAGCGTGACTCCCACTGTGTGGCAGACCCAGGGGGCTGGACTAGGAGACCTCCAAGGACCCTTCCAATCTTATCATCCTATGCTTTTCTCGCCCTCTGGGCTGTGGGAGTTTGGGGAAGGCGTGAATCCCTGCCCTGTGTTGTAGGAACCTGGGGGTGGGGTGGCTCCTGATGGGGGAAGAGCAGAGGGGTGGGTGGGTGGGCTTCAGATCTATTTCCCCTCCCCAAGGTAGGGGAGAAGGGTGCAAGATACCCACTTTCCAGGCTGCTGGTGGATATGGATGTGGGGGGCCGAGTTTGGGAGAAGGTTGGTGGGCAAAGCTTTCTCCTTTCTTCCTCTTGCAGAAGATGAGATGTTCTCGGATATCTACAAAATCACAGAAGTTGCCAATGGCCTCTGCCTGGAAGTGGAAGGGAAGGTAGGTAAGAGCTGGGCAGGGGGGGGGGCCTCTGGTGGGCTGCATTGGGGCACAGCTAGTCCTCAACCTACGGCCACAATGGAGCCCCAAACCTGCGTTGTTTAAATGAGAAAACCAATTAAGTGCATTTTGTCTCCATCTTCCGTCCTTTCCTTCCTCCCTTGTTAAAAGTGAACCACTGCCGTTGTTAAATTAGTAACCTGGCTGTTGTGAATCTGGGTTCCCCGTTGACTGGTCGCAAAAGGGGATCCCAGGACACTGCCACTGTCATAAATGCGGGTCAGTGGCCAAGCATCCCAATTTTGAACATGTGGCCATGGGGATGCTACAGCGGTTATAAGTGTGAAAAATGGTGGTAAGTCACTTTTTTTCAGTGCCATAGTAACTTTGAACGGCCTGGCAAGTGGAGGGCTTCCTGGAATTACCATCTAATATATTTTAATTATTAGAACAAGAGGTGCTTTTGAAAGGAATTAAACCAAATTCTGGGTTGAATTTGAAGAAGTGCAGAGGGTAAGCAGCTGTTCTGACCTAGGCTTCCCCCAACAGCACGAAGCAGACTCCTCGTCCCGATAAACCCCCTTTTATTTAGTTTACGGTGAATTCCTCTCCAGCAAAGTCCCAGCCGACAGTCTTTCAAGAGATTTCCCAATTTCCTTTATCAGGCTTGGAGAGTTGCCAGGCTGATATCTTTCAGACGCCACACTGTAGCAGACAATAATTAGCAAGACTGCAGGAACAGATCTTCACCCAAATGAACTAATTGTCTCCTGCAAAACCACAATCCCCTTTTGCTCCTCTTTTATTCTCTATGGGAGGGGCCAATCACCATCAACCTGAGCCTTTACTCCCGAGTCTGCCCTTGTCCCTCAGCTGTTCCCTTCTGGCAGCTCTGCACATGTGCACACGGAACAGGCTCCGTCTGTTCTTCTTCCCCACTGATCTCCGACTCCGAAGGCAGCGGATAACCGTCAGATGGCCCTTCCTCCATCTCTGCCTCCGACGCAGAACCTTCCCCAGACTTCAGGACTGGCCCATGTTCTCCCCCAACCTCCTCACTGTCTGAATCTTCCACGGGCCACAACAGCAGCCTTTATGACCCGAATGATTCAGAATACACGTTTTCCCGGCTTGTTTTGGATGAAGCAAAGGGGTTTCTTAACGGGATAGCTTGTTTCGCAGTCCTTAATCTATCCTTGTCTTATTGGAGCTTATTTTCAATCTCCCAGATGGTCAGCAGGAAAGAGGGTGAAATTGACGAAGCCCTGATTGGGGGAAACGCATCCGCCGAAGGCCCCGAAGGGGACTGCACAGAGGCCACCGTCATCACCGGGGTCGACATCGTCATGAATCACCACCTCCAGGAAACCACTTTCACCAAGGAGTCTTACAAAAAGTACATCAAGGACTACATGAAGTCGTAAGTGGGGCCTCCTTTATAGGTCGAGTGAAGCTCGTCTGCAGTCCTTCCGAAAAGCTTGTCCCAAAGGTGCTTTTTTTTTCTTCAGGAGGCACCTGGAACCTTCTCGTTTTTTTTCCCCCATTGAAGACGTTTCGCTTCTCATCCAAGAAGCTGCTTCAGCTCTGACAGGAATGGTGGGGAAGGGAAGGATTGATACGCCTTGGAGACAGCTGGTCATTTGCATCCTTTTTAGAGGGTCCTTGAGGCCACTTGGAGGTTTATCTGTCTCCTCGGGGGTCACCTGAGTCCCTGTAGTCTGCATTTTTCCCCCTCTGGAGATCCATTCCTACTCCCACCCCATTCCAAGGGGGTTCATCCCAAATTGTAAAGCTAAAAGTCCGTGGAGAGTCTCCATCATCCTGGCCGTGGTTGTCCCAAAGGTGCTTTTTTTTTTTTTTTTCCAGGAGGCAAGTGGACTTTCTTGTGTTTTTTTCTTTTGAAGATGTTTTGCTTCTCATCCAAGAAGCTTCTTCAGCTCTGACTGGATGGTGGAGCATGGAAGGATTTCTATTCCTTGCAGACAGCTGGTCAATTGCAGTCTTTTATAGAGTCCTGGAGGCCACTTGGAGGGTTATCTGTGTCCTCAGGGTCCCCTGAGTGGTGCAAATGGGTGTGGAGCCTTCTTGGAATTCCACAGTCCTTTTCGGCAGTCCCAAGAAGGCCCCACACCTATTTTTGTACCACTCAGGGGGCCACGAGGACACAGATAACCCTCCAAGTGGCCTCAAAAAAATGTGCAAATGACCAGCTTGTCTGCAAGGAGTATCAATCCTTCCCCACCATCCAGTCAGTTGATGAGAAGCAAAACATCTTCAAAGAAAAACGAAGTCCAGTTGCCTCCTGGAAAAAAAAAAGCACCTTTGGGACCAGGATGACTGAGCATGTCTAGAGAGTTTTGGAAAGCGTGTAAAAGGCAGCCTGCCTGGCCTTCATGCATCGAACGGGCTGCTGTACACGCTGGCTATATGGGGTAAGTGGGATATCTATAATTTGTAGATCAGGTCAGATAAAAAAAAAAAAACACCTTTGTTGCTGGGAGGTTTGGAGGTTTGGGTATCCCTCGACGTAAGGACTACAATTTTGGAGCCCCAACCTTGTTGCTAAGTGAGGCTCTCCCCATTTTATTACCTTTCTTGCCCCCCCCCCCCCCCCCCCCCCGTGGTTAAGCGAGTCGCTGCATTTTGCATACAGGGAATTAGTAACTCAGTTAAGTGAATCCATTGGCGTGAACGCTGGGGAAAGCATTGCAACCGTCCTAAGTCTGTGCCAGTTGCTAAGCCTCTGAATTTTGATCACGTGATGGCTGCAACAGTCGTTGAATGTGAAAAGCCATCCTAAGTCACTCTTTTCAGTGCCCCTCTTAACTTCGAATGGTCACTAAATGAATTGTTACACAAGTCAAGTACTACCTGTAGTTGCGCCTCAGGTAGTTAGGCAGGGAGGAAAGAGAGCAGGCATTGCATCTATTCTAGTTAAGAATTTGCACTCCTGGCTTTATTATTGATTATTCAGGCACCAGGACAGAGGGAGTGTCGCCCACAGCAGCAGCAAATTATGGCATAGGTTCCATGATGCACAAACAGCACAATTGTTTAGTAAAGACGCGTGTAGGTTCCATCCCGTGTGGTTGATATCGCTATCGTTGCTTTGCTGACATTCTCCAGCATGGCTCAGAGGGCCGATAATTCTATGCCACTGCAGCTTTTGTGGCAGGGTGGATTTGATTTAAATCAAGTCGATTTAAGTCACCAGTTATAGAAAGGCTTCGATTTAAATTGAACTCCATTTAAACCATAATTTTTAAAGAGCGGCTGTCCTCTCTGCTGTGAAATTGTGTGAATGCATCGATGCAGTGCATGTTAATCTCAGCTCGCAGAGAGCTTGGATTCATTGAGTGGGTTGATGAAAAATGTAAATATTGCAGAATATACAGCCTTACGCTACATAAGCTAAGCTCCATTTCATACCGAAGAAACTAAACTATTAAGGTCTCTTAAATAGACAACTATCCTTAGACAGATTTTTTTTCTTCCAAAAGCATTTTATGAAAATAAAATGGATAAAAGTGGGTACTCTATTTTGCTTATCTTCATTTTTAAGTGCTCTCATTTTATTGCATTGCAAACAGTTGCTGGGCTGCATCCACAGTTACGTTGTACTTGTACAATGACAATAAAGTTCTTCTAAAGTTCTTCTTAAAATAAAAACTGATTTTTTTAAATTATCTATTTTTGTTCACCCTATTTTGTAGTCCTGCCTAGCTCTTTGAATCTTACGTAGTCCTCTGCTTATGGCCATTATTGGGAAAGTAGCATTTCTCTTGATAAGCAGGGCCGCAGTGCATTGCAGCATGATTTACCAAGTTCTTAAGTGAGTCACTGCAATTTAGAAGTGAATCACGCCGGTGTTAGAGAAATCTGAACTCACGCCAGAAGCTGACCAGGATGGTCGCAAATGTGGCTCGTGTGACGCAACATCATTGTAAACACATTTCCTCTTGCCGTAGTGTCTGAATTTTGATCGCATGACCGTAAGGGATGCTGTCAGTCATTGTAAATATGAAGATCGGTCCTTTCGGTGCCAATCTAACTTTTAATAATTGTTAGGTAGAGGGCTGCCCATAGATATTTGCCACTATTGTAAAACTACCCATATACCGTTTCCCCCAAAATATGACCTACCCTGAAAGAAAGCCCTAGCTTGATTTTTAACGTGCGCCCAATATAAGTCCTTCCTCCCCCAAAATAAGCCCTAATTAAGATCCCACCCACTCCAGAGTGGACAGGTAAAAATTAAGCTAGGGTGGGGATGGAGGGTGGTGGAGCTGCCCTACTACTTACCTTTGGACAGGTGTAGCCAGGCCTTGCACACCCCGACACCCGCCTTGCCGGCCGCAGAAGAAGAAATTCCTGAAGGCCCCTGACAGCAAAAAGGAGGCCGGGGGTGATGCATGCAAGTGAGGTTAGTCAGTGGAGGACTTCCTCCAAAAATAAGACCTGGTGCCCTTGTTTGTGCCAAAAATATATGACAGGGTCTTATTTTTGGGGAAACATGGTATTGTTAAGTCCACTAATGTTGCTATAGTACAGCATTTGCTTTATCAAGTAATTTCTGTTGTGAGTTTTACTTGGGGGGGAGAGGAGAAAAGGTGTATAAGTGTTGAAGAATTGTTATTTCTTTCTTTCTTTCTTTCTTTCTTTCTTTCTTTCTTTCTTTCTTTCTTTCTTTCTTTCTTTCTTTCTTTTCTTTCCCTTGCTCTTTCCCTCCCTCTGTCTTCTTTCTTTCTTTCTTTCTTTCTTTCTTTCTTTCTTTCTTTCTTTCTTTCTTTCTTTCTTTCTTTCTTTCTCTCTCTCTCTCTCTCTCTCTCTCTCTCTCTCTCTCTCTCTCTCTCTCTTTCTTTCTTTCTTTCTTTCTTTCTCCAGAATCAAAGCCAGACTTGAGGAAACCAAGCCAGAGAGAGTAAAGCCTTTTATGACAGGGGCAGCTGAACAAGTAAAGCACATTCTTGGAAACTTCAAAAATTATCAGGTGAGTTTTAAAAAGGTTGCTTGTTACCCCCCCTCCCAATAGATCAAGTCCTGCGTGACCCTAGCGTTAACCTGTAACTTGCTGCAGACTCAAAAAACACAGTTTGTTAAATATCTGGATTTTATTTTTAAATGGCTTGGGGGGGGGGGGGACAGCTTTTTCTACTTGAAGTCTGACCGAAGAGACAAGAGATTTTTCTAAATTCTAAGGATCAACCCAATTTAACGTTCTGGGGACCCCACACCAATCTGGCCACACTGTGTCTTAAAATATTAAACATGTCTGGAGATTTATTTCTGTATGGGGGGGGGGAGGGGGAATGTCTGAGCCAAGAGCCCAGCTTGTATTTTATCTTTCTAACGCAGGCCCCCCCCAACCTTTTGGACCTCAGGGACCACCAAACTCAACAATTTTAAATCCTGCAGACACAGAGACCCTGGGAAAATCCCCCAAAAAGTCTGCAGGAAAATTCCCCCCTTAATTTTCCTACTGATCGATCATTCTTTATTTGGGATTGCAGGATACCGTCTCCAGCTCCATTCTCAGGGGGAGAGAGAGAGAGAGAGAGAGAAAGAGACTTTTGGCTTCATGCAAGGAAAGCAGCAGAAGCAGCAGAAGTCTTTCTTTCTCTCCCCCAAACTCCGCCAGAAGTGAGTCTTTGTGAGACTTCTTGTGCCAGCACAGCCTTTTGGAGCAGGAGGCCTTGCATGGTCCCAAAGACTCATTTCTGGCAGAGTTTGGGGGAGAGAAAGAAAGACTTTTGCTGCTTTCCTTGCATGCAGCCAAAAGCAGAAGAAGGAAGGAGCAGAAAGAAGCAGCCCGGTGGCCAGGCATGCGGGGCAAGTTCCCCCTGTCCACCCCTTCCCCCCTCCCCTCACTACCCCGTGTTCTCAGTGCAAGCGACGCAAGCCTTGCGGTCCATGTGGGCGGTGCAGCCTTGTGTTCCCGCTTAGCCTGGATTAATTGCTTTGGGGGGGGGGACATTTCTCTGCGGACCACCCACATTTTCTCACGGACCACCAGTGGTCTCCAGCCCACCGGTTGGCAACCACTGTTTTTAACGGGTGGCATTTATTTCCTCCTCTAGTTTTTTGTAGGCGAGAATATGAATCCAGACGGCATGGTGGGGCTACTGGACTTCCGCGAAGATGGCGTGACCCCCTATATGATTTTCTTTAAGGATGGATTAGAGATGGAAAAATGCGTAAGTATGGATTGGCAAAGACGGTGGGGGGTAAGGAACGCCTTGGCGGGCAGAAAAGAGCAGCTCACGGCATGGAGCTTTCAGCCGCGTCACAGCCGTTAGAAGAGTAGCGCAGTTGTAACAACAGCCAGTTTGGGGTTTATAAGAAGTATCGGACCGTGATGGTGAACCTATGGCATGCGTGCCAGAGGTGGCAGGCAGAACCTTCTCTGGGCATGCGTGCGATCGCCAGTGCTGTTCTGGTTTCTGGCACATAGAACTCTCTGGGCATGCACACTGGCCAGCTGGTCTCCGTGGGCGCTGAAGCACCCAAAAAACAGGCCAGTTTAAGAGAGAGAGAGAGAGAGAGAGAGGCAAATGAGAGAAAGAAGAGGGAGAGACGGAGACAGACGAGAGAGAGAGACAGTCAATCAGAAAGAGACAGGAGGGAGAGACAGACAAATGGACAGGAGAGAGAGGCAAACAGAGAGGGGGGCAAACAGACAGGAGAGAGGCAGA